AACAGTTGAAATGTGAAAGCAACCTGAAACAGTTCTGGTGACTATGTATCACGTGTCATCTTCTAAAGTAAAATAATCATAGCGAGTAATTACATCATTAATTTAACAGTGTTATATTAGTAGAGTTGCAAGCTGTATATATGATACTAAATAAAAGTATGTTATCGGGGAACATCATCCTAGTAAAAAATAATTAACTCTGAAACACTAACAGAAGGTTATAAGGAAAAGATTTGACATTTCTGAAACATTTCCAATAATTTCACATTTACTCTGAATTCCCACACAGAGTAGTAACAGATTAAATTAAACCTTCAGACTCTATAAGAGCTAATTTAATGTCATCTGGGGGAAAAAAAAAGTCTAGGAATGGTTTAACTGGCATGAAAAATGCTGCAAAGGAATACTATGTTTTCCTGTAACTGAAAATACAGCTCTTTTCAGAAGACTAAAAAGAGTGTGCATACTGAGGGACAGGAGAAGAAAGGAGAGAACAGGAAAGAATCACTTATCCCCTCCCTAAACTGACCTTGTTAGAACAACTATATACTGTGTTATGCAGCCATTGCATAAGAGAAGAGAAAAAGATCAACCCAAAAGAAGTAAAGAATTAATTTGTCCAAGTTCTACAATATCTTAAGCTTTGGCAGGGCGGGATAGTTAACACAACTTAATGGTAATAATCATAACATATGAAATGTGCACTAAAAAACAGTGGGGCTGGAGAGCTTGTTCCCTCTGAGTGCAAACACCGACTAGCACAGAACTGCGTGTCTTGCAAATACTCTTTCTGTGATAGCAGCGATGACAACCCGAGAGAACTGTCTGCAGAACCATTAATATGTTGAATACAAACTAAAAATACAGGTATTTTTACTCAAATGTGATAAAATACTAAAAAAAAAACCAAAAAAACCCCCCACAAACGCAAACCTAAAAAAATAGAAGCCTTTAGAGTCAAGCAGTGACTTAGAGCACTGTAACATGCACCAGAAGCTATGTTTCAACAACTCTAATAGCACATTATCACTTTATGTCTTGAATCCATTTGTTCCTCCTATCTTTGGTAGGAAATGAGATGGCTATCTCGTAAGAAGGCAACAAATGACTCTGTATCTCCGAAGACTATGGGCACTGTTAGGAAACTGAAATCTGTAGTTTGTTGTGGCCATTACAGTCTGAAGTGCTACAAACACAGGAACTCACCTGTTTTTAAAACTCAAGAAATGGGAATCTTTTCACCACTTAAAAACATGCATAGAGCCCAATATTCAAACTTTGTGGAACACTGATTGTATTACACCTGAAGAGATTGTTTAGTATGCTATGTTCTTAAAAGATTGATCTACTTTTAGCTTGTTTCTTCCTAATAAGTTCGCCAAAGAGCCTCTAAAGGACTGCTTACAAAGCATCCCAACTAGACAAAATGCAGACAGAGAAGACAATGGTTCCACTGCCCAGAATTCTATGAGAGTAACTAGGTGGGGAAGAGAGATCAAATAATCAAGAGTGGAAGGAAAACACTAATTGGGATATAGTTGTGACACTATCTGTCAACAACTATCCTGTCTATGTTAAGAAATCAGTATTTCTACAGACATTTCTCAATGATCCAAACTACTCCTGAGCTATTTGTGCAAACAAAGACCTGAAAAATCAATACCAAAAAGAGGAAAGTAGGCATACAAATAAACATGAATAAAAAGGCAATAAGAGAACTGTGTTTTAACAAAATATTCTCATACTATGAACACAGAGCTTTTCCATCATTAATCTACCTTCTATTTGTTACACTGTATCACAGTAAGGTAACTTATGTACTATGACCCCTAACATCCACATTCTGTTCAATTCAATTATAAAAATGTAAGGTAGCTTAATAATGTATTTGATCACAAGACAAAGACACAAGCTTAGATACTTATATTATGCTCTGAAGAAATTGAGTAAGATTTTTAGGAAAAGGGCAGACTGACAAGTATTTTGGCTAAAGGTTTTTGTAACTCCAGGGCCCCCTTATCACAATACAAACGGTAATAAACAAATAGTAGTTGCCAATACATTAGCAGCATAAAGAGCTCTGCAATCAACTAGAATCAAATGTATGTTTCTGTACAGACGTAGCCACTTCTTTTGCTCATGCAAATTGCTGCTTGTACTAGTACTTTGTACTACTGTGGTTTTCTAGAGGGCTCTTTGGACAAGCAGAAGCTTTACCTGTGCACTTCTTGATGGAAGTGCTTGCAAAAAGGAAAAAAAATTAGTACGTTCTTAAGAGACTGTAGATGGGTTAAATGTACCTTAGCTTCAATAGAAATAAAGATTTCTATCACTTATAGTTTCCTCAAACTACAAAGTTAATGATATGTAGTGTTTACAATCATTATATTTTCTTATATGGGCTATTTTGCTTTATTAATTTTCTTTAGCCTAATATGCTCTAAAGTACACTGTAAGAATTTTTTAACAGAATTCCAAATAGTTAAACCTTTACTTAAGTTAAACATTTTAAAAAATACAAATTTTAAATTCATCAACTCCACTTTTTATCTATTTATGTATCAAAAGTTTAGAGCATAACTAAAAATCCACCTGTACATGACAAAAGAGCACTAGGAATAAAAGAAAATAAAAACCCATGGAATTACTTAGTTAAGGGTAACCATTCTGTAACTTAAAGGCAAAAAGACCCAGCAAGCCAAGCCAAAACAACCCAGCTCATACTAAGTACAGCTGAAGATTCTGCCATTACATAAAATACAAATACATTTTGATTACTTAGCATTTCAAGGTTATCCCTTGTAGTCTTACAGAAAAAAAACATCAAAGTGAATGCATTGTTTAGGTTATTGCCAATAATAATTATTTACATCATATGAAGCTGACTAGATTAGCTGAGGGGTTTGGGGGGGGTGTGGTTTTGGAGCATTTGTTTTGGTGGTTTTTGGAGGGGGTGTTGTTTTGTTTAGGGGTTTTGAGGGGTTTTGGTTTTGTTTGTTTTTAAACAAACTACAAGGAAAATAAAACCTAAGTACTGTAATCCAACTGAGTGCTGTGTAACTGCTGCTTGGTAATCTTTAAATCAATCCATTAACACACTGTACATGTTGCCAGCAAAGATAAATCATATAATCCCTTCTATCACTGCTGTATTTCATGTATTGGGGTAGGGGGGCAAGGAGAGCAAGAAGGGAAGTCATCTTTAAGACTGGAAAGTTTAGAGAGAAAGCCACATATAAAGTATTGTTTATTAAACTTTCTGATGATGAAAAAGTTAACTTATTGCATCTAATTTAGTAGATGCTTGTTTAATTTTCAAAAGTAACACTCAATTTATATTGTGCTTATGAATATAAACAAATGAAAGGTTTTTCAACTCAGCAGATTTGTTTCTTTTTATAAAAAAAGTGAAAAACAGAATAGAACATAAAATATGTAAAACAAGACAGTGTCAAAGACTTAAGAGACAAAAAATAACTGCATGAGTTAGAAAACTAGTATTCTAGACAGGTGAAGAGTTGCATCAGCCTCAGATTAGATGTCTGCTTATAGCTCAGCTAAATACAAGTGAGAAGTTCTTCACACTGTATCATCACTTCAACAAAATACAAGGCCAAAAAAAAAATCCTGAAATTAAATTCTAATTGCTAAGTTCTAGTATTTTAAAGTCAAAACTATTTTTTATTATAGAAATTCACAGTAAAATGCGAGAAAGTATCAAGACATTTTTGTTCCTATACAGTCTAACTGTACCCTTGCTGGACAGCTGTAAAAATACAATGACAAATTGTTCTAATACAGCATTGCAAAGCTAATGTGGATTAAAACTGACAGTTTACTTTCAAACTTTTTTTTAAGTGATACCCTCAAGTAACAATGAAAGGTATCTATGTAGCTCATTCAGATTTATCTACCAAGCTTATGATTCTGCAAATCTATGAAATGCATACTTTTAAGTATTTCATTCTCATCTCATCGATTTAAGCTAGTTCTCCCATGTACTTGAAATTAAAATCATTCTTTTCTAGGAAAAACTTTTCTCTAACCAAGATCTTATCCTTTCTTTTTTTCCTTACCCAACATTCTAGTACATTTCACTATGACTGTTCAAAAGTAAACTACAAAGTTTCAAGTTTCAAATTCCCTCAACAAATTCCTATTAAAGGTGTATCACACAGAACTGTTGACATATACATACTAGTAATAAGAAATAGCCTATTAACTGCTGTCCACAGCTGAATTATATAGGCTTCATTACTTCAAATTTGTCCATGTCACCACCTCCCTCCCACATGTTTTTAATCTTCTCCTAAAAGTTGTTTTTTAAAAAGCAGCAGCTTAAAAATAGATTAGGTCCAACTTTTTTGTGCCTTTTTTATAATATTAGATTTCCTCCTTACCATATGTAGAATTCCAAATTAAGCTTGCTTTGTTTTAAGCTAGATTTATATTTTCACTATCAATTAACACTCTAAATTGATTTTTAGGTTTGTGCTTCTTTTTCCTTTGAAAATCTTCAGACCTTTCTGAAGCCTTTTGAAGAAGTGACTACTTACTTTTCACTCTTTGTACGCCCTGGCAGTAGTATTCTCTCTTGATCTTTGCTTTTAACAGCAAAATTTTTTACCATTTTCAATACCCTGTGTTCTATGTAGTTATTCCTTAATGGGAGTTTTTTAACTCCATTTTAAGTTAATGTAAGCCAACTTTAAACTATCAACTACTTTCCACTACGAATTCCACAGTTAAATGTCAAACATCTGGTAACAGTTGTCATCGATTATCTTACCAAGCCTGGTACCAAAAGCCTTAAATATTTTAACCATTTTACGACATAAAAGGAATAGTGGCAGAAGGTTAATAGGAACTGACCTATTCCAGTGTAAATGTCTATCTAACTGCTGAGGAGTTTTGATAGCTGATTTTCACAGTTTAACTGGTTCTTGAAAAAGGAGAATTACAGACATTATGAGTCAGCTTTAATCAGTTAAACAACTAACCTTTTGCTCTGTTTGCAGTTGGTCACATCTCTGCTTTTCATGGTTAAGTTCTTTTTCCAGTCTTTCAACCTGATCCCTGAGTTGTGCCGTTTCCTTTTCCAGAACAGAAGTTACCTTTAATAGCTCTTCTTTTTCTTTTACTATTTTTTCAATTCTAAACTGTAAAAACAAAAACATTCGGTTTTGGTAATTTTTCTCCCCTTCATTCCTATCAAATAAGTGGTAACAAATTACTCCAGTGTTTGAACGGAAGCACAAATGTGTCCCCTCTGGCTCTTATTTTACAGTTTTCCCTTTACTCCCAAATTTCTGAAGTTTCACTGCTTTAACTGAATAGTGCTACATTACCATCAGACAGCACACTTTGCAGTGTCTTGATCTATATTCAAGTTTTCCCTAAGTGAAGCGCCTTTACTGTTCCCAAGTGACAGCAACTATGGAGGAGCTAATTATGATGACAACAGCTTGGGGAAAAAATGGCCGCTGAGTGTAGACACACACGCACACTCTAAAGCAATGTTTGAGGAATTTCACCAAAAAAATGAACACACACATTGCCAAAAGTAAGGACTAGCCCATGAACTGCAGCCTTTCAGTACTTAAAGGGGGCTTACAAGAAAGATAGGGACAGACTTTAGTAGGGCCTGCAATGACAGGACAGAGGGTAATGGTTTTAAACTAAAAAAGGATAGATTCAGAGTAGATATAAGGAATAAATATTTTATGATGATGGTGGTGGAACACTGGAACAGGCTGCCCAGAGATGCGGTAGATGCTCCATCCCTGAAAACATTCAGGGTGAGGCTGAACAGGGCTCGGAGCAATCCGATCTAGTTGAAGATGTCCCTGCTCACTGCAGGGGGGTTGGACTAGATGACCTTTAAAGGTCCCTTCCAACCCCAAACATTCTATGAACAAAGATAATCAAAAACACTTGAAAATTTTTTTTTCTTTAAATTTTAGCACTATGAGTACATATCTGAAAAGCAAAAATATCCCAGATGTATCTCCGTACTAAGTCTCTTATCCCTAAATTTTGAGATCTGTAAATCAAATATATGCATGTACGTGCCTAGATGCAACTGAGAAAAGGATAAAATGTTTGATGGCAAGATAAGGAAACTGTAGCGAGCAGTCTTCTAACATGCAACTCATACAATCAAGTTGGTTTGGTTTGGGTTTTTGTTGGGTTTGGTTTGGGTTTTTTTGTTGTTTGGTGTTTGGGTGGGTTTAAGTAGTTCTCAGCCTACAAAATATCAACAAGCAAACGGAAACATCTTGACCCTGGATGTAAGCATAGAAGTCTAACCACATCCATCTAGCAAAGAACATGACACACATAACACTGCTTTAAACAAAACAAAAGCTATTCTAATATACTTGGGCACCTGCTATTATTCAGCTTAGTTTCCAGGGCCCTTCACTTGCGCACAAATAAAAATAAATAATTCTGTAATTTTTTTTACTTACAACGAGCACCACTTCACACAAAGGGTATATTCCCCCCTCTGGTTAGTCAGAGAGTACAGATGTGAGAGATGGACAACTACTCTCTTACGGCTTCCCAGTCTATGCCTAGTGCTATACCATGCCTGTGACCAGTTTAAATCTTTACTCATTTAACCTGCAGATGTTCTGAACTCCAATCAAATACTGGAGAACAAGCCAGAAATGTATACATTACACATACATATGTAGGCTTCTTCCTCCTGGTTTGTTCTTCAATACCTGTGAATGTACGTATGTATATATAAAAAAAATAAGTAAGAAGATAACATTTTAAGAATTGTTGAATCAAACCTCCAGAAGTCCAGCTTTTGTGGTCACCACTAACATATCAGAGTTTCCTTCATCTTCCATAGTGAGCAATTCTTCAACAGGGGAAGAGGTACGAAACTGGAAAGGTGTGCTTGCTCCACGGATTTCTCCTTTATGAGTCACATAACAGAACTGGTAAAATTCTCCATCATCATTTGGTAGATAATATCCTATCAAAATAAATTCATATTTGAAGAAACATTCTACACAAACATACAAGTCTCCGTCTGGAAATAGATTATCAGATCACATTTGACTTACAAATTTCATGCTCATTACCTTAGTAAGGCACAGATAAATCATCAAAACAGCAGAAAGCAAAACTCATTCTATTTAGTAACTTTCATCCCCCAACAATTTCTCCTAGCTTTTAAAACAAACACTAAAACAGTAGCAGGTAATAGGTGCTGTATGTACACATCACCTTACATACATTAGGTAATAGCTGCTGTTTATATATTTATGAAACAGAATCATTAGCAATCAGATGCCCTGAAGCTGGATCAGGGCCACATTACTATGTAACTGTTGTACAATCACAGAACAAAAAGTAAGCGATTTTTTGGCCTTGGAATATCTATACAACCAAAGACAACAAAGAATAACATACAATGACAAGACATCTGCAGTTTTACCGGGTTCAATTCTTTGCATGTTTTTTGTGCACCAACAACAATTTAATTTTGCTATTTTTAAATGCCAAAGCACAGGAACACTCTGAACGGATGATACAAGCTGCTGGGGGACGGGGGGGGGGGGGGTGGGGGGGGGGGGGTTTAAAAAAGAGCTGATACTTTAAAATTGAAAAAAAAAATTATGTTCTAGACTTTGCAAGGTAAGAATAAGTTCATCTTTCTTGTAGCTATGTAATACTGCATGCTGCTAGCATATCATTTCAGAAGAATTTCTGTGTGACTATTCACCTGAACTGTTGCCCACTAAAGCTTCAACATCAAGCCTCTCACATCGCCTAGATTCACATGGTAATACTTGTGGATGTTAAACAATCATTTCCAGAACTAATGAGATTTTTACCTTTATTAGTAAATGCAAGAAACCACACCTTACCCAGTTTAACAGTAAGAAAACCAACTGGTTTTATTCAGAACACTTAATTATCAGATACCCTAGCATACCAAGTCCTCACCCACTGTTCAACCCAGCAGGTGATGTCACCCATTTCTGTTCATAGTTCACCACAATTCAACCTGTTCCCTTTCTAACTTTATCATTAATTTCTATTAATCAACTTTTATTCCAGATTCTGGGATTCCTGGAAGACTATTCCCAGTACTCTTAGCTACTTGTCCTACAAATCACAAAACCTCAGGATTCTGTGCTTTTGGACCTGACTACACTTTCCTATATAGCACTGCAGTTCAGTTTACATGATTCAATGCTTAAATAAGGCGACACTATGCAGAAACAAATTCAGAACAATCTACTTTGCAGCTCCAGCAAGTTTTAATATTGGTTCAGACAAACTGATTTTAAAACTACTTAACGTCTTTTTTCTTGTATCTAACATGTACTGGAGAGAACAGATTCCTGTATTTTCTTCCAGTACACCTACTTGATCATTTTAAAAAAAAAGAAATAAATATTTAAAGCATGCTGCACAACATCTACTATTTATCTCAGTTAATTAAGCTCCTGTAAGCTCTAATGATCTCATCTCAGCAGCACTAAAATATCTTGCCAAATGGGAGACTGTCTGAATAGAGATTAAATCTGACAGCTCTATAAAAGTAGAGGACTGTCAGCATGGAATGTAACAGATGGGACAGTTACCTGGTCTCTTCACATGTGGCAAAACTTCTAAGTACAAAGGACTAATAATGGCATGTAGAGTCCTAGGTTTCTAGGTCACTTTTAGTTTCAGTCCAACCCAATTTCATTCATTCAATGAATTCTGGTAACCGTAAAAGAAACTAATGACTTCCTTCCAGTTCCTACAGAGCACACGTACTTTTCACAGATTTCAAGGTTATAAAATAGTCAGATCACATGGATATGATCATCATCAAACGCATCAGAAAAAATGACTTGGCATAAGAGAAAGAACAGTGAACTCATCCAAGCTATCACTATTTGCAGCTTTAACAAGACAACAAGCTAATGCATTAGTCATTTCAGGACTTCAATTATTATTTTTTCTATGTATTTTAAGCAATAAATACACACACACACACGAAGACTAAAACCAACTCTGGGAAGTAAAAAAGAATATAAGATGGTACGTAAAATTCTGCTAGTCAGCAGAAAAGCATTAAACAAGTGTAATGGAGGTGCTCTTTTTACATGCAACTTTGAATGTGTGTAGATTTTTGACATTCATAATGTCCTGTGGCAAGAAGTTCTGCATATCGACTGTGTTATACAAGTATCATTTCTATCATCGTTTTGAACCTGTCACTTGGTAGCTTACATCAATGGCTCCTACTTCTTTAAATACGAACAATGGATAATCCACTCATGTCATAGGTAGCTGATTTTAGAGACATCAGTCGCTTCCCATTATTTCCCTTTCCCAGGCTGAAAAACCTGGCAGAATGGAGTTCTGAAGGTCACCTAGTCCAATTTCCCACTCAGGAGACTGTTGTCAGCACCAGTTTGAGACTACCATGGCTGTGTCTAAGCAACTGTGTGGAATTCCCATCCTTCCAAACCAGGGATACCTGTTCCAAGCGCTGCACTACTCCCTCTTGCTAAATAAGTCGTTCCTAATGGCAGACATAAACCTCCCAGGCCACAATCCATGGCCACTGTCCCTTTTTATATTTAAGAAGAAGAGTGTGGCTCTCCTCTTCGTAACTCCATGCCTTTATACAGAAGCTATTTCTTAACTTTCATCTTCCTTGTTGTGCTTTGTTCATTTGTTCTACTAGATCTTTTCTGAGATTGCAAAGGGGAGGGAGAATGCAGTTATACTATAGATTTGTACAGTGGTATATAACATTTTGTTATTTATTCTTGTCTTAAAAACTTCAGCCATTTTCACCAATTCCTCACTGTCAAAAGGTCCTCTGCAACCGTTCGATTACTCTGAACCTTTACCAAACCATCACCTACATTATTTATTCTTTGACAAGAATCACTTTACATTGAGAATGATGTTTCAAGTCCAGAGACTAAAGACAATGTAAACACACAATGCATTGAGATGCCAAGGTTAAAAAACCTTGCTGATGATTAAACAGTCGCTTTCTGTAGTTTAAGTTTCCAGCACAGCTTCTCTTTCTATCAGTCATGAATACTGTCCATTACTATGTAAAAACATACTAAGTCACATGCTTCCCCTTAAAATTTCCTTGACATCTAAAATAAAACTGAACTTTACACAGTGAAGTGTGGAAAATTCTCCTCCAATTAATGTTTGTAAAATTCTAGAACAGTTAATTTATTTGGTTTGGTTAAACCATGACAACAACCCTCAGCATTGTAACGAACAGATAAGTATTTAAAAAGCTGTGTAGGCTGGAAAATACAGGTAGATACTGGTTTACATTCACCTTGAAAAGTCAGCACACAGTTAACAGTTGATCCTTCCACATAATTTTCTGGCATAGGTGACCAAAGAAATGTGTAATAATCTCTTGCAGTACTCCAACCAACCTAAAATAAAATAAACCACAACAAAAAAAGAAAGAGAAAACATTAAGCAGAAGAATTTGTTATACACAGTTAAGATATCATGGTCTGGCCTTTACAACATACTGTAATATGCATATTTCTGCTTCAACATGCAATAAAAAGATACTTAACAATGTTTACAAATCAGGAATATTTTAACAAGCATGTCAAAGATTTAGCATGAATTTTATTAAGCTTGTTACTTAAGGCAATAAATGGGTCTAAGGCAATAAAAGGGTCTATATAAATTAAAACACCAGACAGTTTTCTCTATACATTAAACTACTATTTGGTACTTTTTTTTTTCCTATAAAGATACACATTACTACATTAAAAATTAAAAAAAAAAATTAATTCTGAAATTTATAGTGAGATTTTCTTAGTGTAAATTCTGCCAATGCTATTTTGTATCCACAGTCCAGCAGGTTCATCAGAAAACAAAAACGAGGAAAGAAAAAATACCACTCTTCTATTGAAAAGGCCAAATTTGACAGGGATAAACTAGCACATTTTGGACAACTTCTGCAATATTAAAGACTAGCATTTCACTAGAATGCTAATTCTCCCATACATGCTATGTCTGCAAGGAAAAAAAAATTTGCATGAAAACCTAACTCAGCTAAGTTGGTACAGTCTTCCCACTAACTTCAACATCTGCTTTCAGACTTTTCATAAGAGCGCAGTTCTGTACAGTAAGAAATGCTATCCTCTGAAGAAACATATTCCAACAAGCTTGAAATACATGCATCTAAACCTGAAACCCTGTAAAGCGATGGATATTAATAATAGTTTAACTGAAAAGGAGAAGAAATATATCCATGTTAATCCACTGACAAAAAAAAAAAAAACCCACACCAAAAAAAAACCCCACCTTGCCAAAAGCTAGGTGTAGTATAAGTAATTGGGTATACTGTCTTGGAAGAGTTAAGAAGAGAAAAGGGGACAAATTGTCTACCAATTTTTATCAAGTAAGACAGTACGCTTCAAGAGGAAAGGAAAAAAAAAAAAAAAACCCCGATCACCAAAAACGGTGAAGTTACCAGTCATGATTTCTATTACTTCAATAGACAAGACTTCTAAACTTCAAGTTCATACCAAATCCTCCTTTACAAAGGATACACTGCAATAGTGTATTTTAAAAGCATTAAGAACTGGGGTTTTTTTAAGTTGTCAGCATTAAAAAAAAAGAAAAACAGAAAACATGTTTAGATAAGCAAAGAGAACAGCAGAACTGAAAGTAATCAAATAGCAATTATACATGTATACAGGCATACATTTCACGTATGAAAATTAATTAGCATTAGTAAAAAAATAAGATTATTCCATAGATGTCCATTATATTTCTTCACTTTGCATTAAAAGGTGTGGCGAAAAGCTCATGTTTGGAAAAAAAGAACTAGTCCAAGATGACCAGGCCTTTTTTATATTCTTAAAAAACAAGGACGAACAGCAGCAAAACCAAATGAAATTTTGATTTTGCTAACTACACTCACTTCTTTAAGGCAACATTCATTAGAGAAAAGCAGTGCAGACTCTTGACGCATCCACCACAATGGAATCACCTACTACATCTTAAGCCTATTCTTAGCCAAAATTTTGAATATTTCTATGATATCTCATATCAAAGAGCTTTTAAAGCTGTCAGTGAAATGACATTTCCTCAGAGTGTTACTCCCACACTGTTAAATATCTGAGAAATAACAAGTAAAGCTCTTCCAGTAACTTGAAGGGGGAGTAAAAGCGATTTTTTCTTGACAAAAGTTCACAGGAAAAATGTTTTGCAAATTTTCACATTAGCCATGTCTTCATATCCAACTCGGATGTTAATACCCCTTTTTTTGCTGAACGTGCTTATACCTCAGAAAAGGGAAGCATATATCAATACTTGTTGCCCTAAATAAAGAAAGAAGATAGGTTTTTAAATGTAGTTTCCAACGAGTGACAAGTCCCCATCTTGCTCTTTCTAATTTCAGAAGGGAAACTGAATTATTACATCCAGACCAAATACTGTACAGAATTGAAGTAATCTTTTCATCCTACTGGTTAAAAAAAAAACCAAACATACACACTCTGATTCTGATCCTATTTTCCAAAGTAAAATAACATCCTTCTTTCTGATAATTAACACTTCGGAAAATGTAGAGAGAAGGAGCAAAATCCAGTGAATATAAAAACAAAAATGCTCCCACTAGGAAATCAACTCAACTTCTGATTCAGTTTGTCTCTGGGATTGTAGCATTTTTATTATTGTTTTTTAGATACCACATGTTGATTTGCAAATTTAACAATCTATTCTGAAACCAAAAGTTATTTTTATGAATACTTTACCTGCAACAGTAATCTACTCAAGGAATATTTTTAAGGTCATTTAAACCTTTAGTCATACCGATAGAAACAAAAAAGTAATTGTGTAGACAACAAATAACTCTCCTGGCCTGTTTCTCAGAAGGTGCTATATTTTCAAGTGTGACTCCAATCTATGGGCTACTAGTAAAGCGTACACATGACAAGCTAGTGGGCAACACCCTGGGAAGTTTACCCCACGTGTATTTTCTCCAGCGATTCCCCCTATTTCCTTTCACCCATCATCTGCTTCCTCTGCCAAAGCTCTCCATCTTACACACTTATGATCCTGAGAATCCACTTATTTCTTAATGGGGCATACGCAAGTTACCAGCGGGTGTGGGCTACCCAACAGATCTTTTCACTGCACAGGATTTCAGAAGATGAGGGTCTTTCTTCCCTGCTACAGGTTGCAGACGTCAAGAAGTGACAACGCAGAGAAGGAAATATGAACAAATATCTACTTCCTCGCAGTTGCACACATTTACGAAGGGGAAGTTTGTGTATTCTGCAGCAAAGCAAGTTAACATAGTAAAATGATTCAACACCTTTCCTACTTAACAATAATTATCATTAACTTCTATAGGATTATTTCTTAGATGACAGAAACAAGGAGCAAAACCAAAGCAGTGATATGCTGAGAAGAAAATAAATACAAAATTAAGTAATGGATGTTTTAGGTCCAGGATCTAGATCGTAAAAAAAAAAAAAAACCAAAAAACCAAAACACAAAACACCCCACCCCACAAAACCCCAAACTATCAACAGGTTTTTATCAACAGGGTTTTTTATTTTAGTACTTTGTATCTTTCAACAATATTCTCTTTAATAAGCCTAGTATGAAGTGCACAGTAGTTCAGAAATACAAAATACTCTTACACAGTCATAGCCTTCTCTATGGCAACAGATTATACTATCACAGATACAACACTATAAACACACATTGAATGGCTCAGCAATGACCTAAATGCGACCTTTGACAAAGATATTTCTTTCAGCTCAGAAGGAAAACCAATAGTTGCCTAAAAATAGGGTTAAAACTATATAAAGAAATTTTAAGATTGCTCAAGGGAAAGGAAATAAAAGTTGAGATAAACTAAAACTAGTGGTAAAAGCTACAGAGGAAATCAACAAAGAGTGAAAATGACGAAGAGGAAGATGGAAATACTTGTCACAAAACCCACAGTGATTTTATGTGAAAACCAAAACACTGTACCTCTGGAAGCAAAATTAACAGCAGCATCATCAGGCATATTGGCTTGGGAAAATGTTTTCATGTTCCTATATTCATTTTAATGAAAGAAATCAGAAGAGCTAGACTGTTTCTCTAACTGCTGATCAAAGCAACAAAACTTGCTATAATTAATATAGACTTATCTTCCAGGTTAGCCTCCAGAGAGGGAGAAGAGTCCAGATCCCCCACAAGAACCCATTTATTGTGAAGGCCTTATCTGGACTACACTGACAGCAGAAAAATTGCTATTTAAGGCAAATGTCCATGTAAGGTGCTTTTGTTGTCTTTTTTTTGTTGTTTCTTTGTTGTGTTTTGGGTTTGGGTTGTTTTTTTTAAATTAAAAAGACTATTACAGCAACTGGCCCATACAATTCTGCTTAGGACATACTGAAAAAGGGCAAGTTGAAGCTTTTCTCATAAACATAAGAATTTGTATCTTCCTGGTAATGGTGCAGGATTCAAAAAATTGGATGATTCAACAGGTAGGTATTGTTAAATACAGTTAGCATAGGGTAAATAGTATCAATCAGTATTGTACACTGGAGAAAACATGAAAGAACATTTTAAAAAATAAATGTATTTACTTATTGCATACCCCTAGTTTCTTAAATGCCACTTTCCATGAAAGCTGTAGAATTCAGAGGTAGCAATAACTGAGCACAGACTAAAAAGAGTTCCCTAGCCAGCATATTCCTTAATTTCATACTTTCAAAACTCAAAGGTAAGTTTTGTGAAACTAAAAGCAGATAAATTAATCCTAATCTTTCATTTTCAGAAATATTTTCTTCATAGAATAATGTTCGAGTAGCAGAGAAAGGATATCCTGCCACCTCGCAAAACCTTTTGCAGCTGATGGTCCAATTCTTGGGGTGAGGGGGCTCCTTTGACCCCACTGCACTTGCTCTGCAACAGCAGGAACACAGAATCTACTCTGTGGAAAAAAAATCCAATCCTAATCTGCTTTGATTATTCACATCTCCAAGCTTATCTATGCAGGAGTCTCCAGGAAAATCCCAGAACAGTAACAGAGTAGAAGAAAAATTTCACATGCAGACTTTAGAGTAATTTCCAACTCTAACATAAGAAGTAGAAGCAGAGAAATTCTCCAATCTTTAGAAGCCCTCAGCATGAAAATAGAAGGAAGCAGAGCTGTTTGTGTCCAGACTCTCTCTAATACTGTACTGGAACATGAATGCATGTTAAAAAGTAAATGCAGATGCTATTTAAATACTATTTAAATGCTCCATAGACCTTTTACCACAAATTTTTATCTATTAAGTCTTCCATTTTTCACATCATTCAAATTCTAGTTGTCTCAAAGTTTAAAACAAATGAACAAAACCCTAACAATTTTACACCAAAGTAGAAAATGGAAATAAGTGGTTAAGTATTTAATTTACTAGCA